TGCCTGCCTCATAGCCCCCCGAAAGTGTGGCCCTTGGAGATAGGATTCCAGACATCTGGAGGGCGGCACCATCCTAAAACCCACAGAGCACCCTTGTATTCAACAGACTCGCCGACAGCCTTGACCCTTGACTCCAGAGCAAACCCATGAGCGTGCCTGTGTGTGTGTGCATATGTGTTGCATCTTGGCCCTCCGCCCAGAAAGCGGCCTCTTCACAGCCACATGGAGCCCGCTGCTCTCGTGCAGATGTGACGTGGCGACTGACCCAGATGGGCAGTGGCTCCCTGAGGTCGTGGGTGCCATGGTGGCCGGACACAGATTCGGACCCTCAGCTCTGCTCCCAGCCTTCACAGGCTGCCCGCTTGGGCTGATAAGGAAGTCAGGACGCCCACAGGCCGGTCGCTTTGCAGCAGCTCACAAGGAGGCTCGGCGTGGTTTGTTGACTGGCGAATCGTTGTGAACCTCAGTGCATGCTTCTGTCCAGTGGAGTTTTCATGTACCTGTCCTTCCCTCTGGAGCCATCTGAAGAATCTGGGTGTGTGTGTTGCGGCAGAGAACAGATGGGCCCTGTGTCTGATGGGCGTGGGCTTACCTCCTCATTCTGGGACATGTTGCTGGCAGAGGGACCCCGAGGAGGCATCAGAGGGCTGTGGGCACCCACGGGACTGGGGCTTGTGCAGGGAAGCCCAGCCCAGGCCAGGTGGGAGCCTGGGTTCGTGGTGGTGGGCGCGCTCATGAGAGCCCGCGGTCCTGCGTCCCTCCCCTGCCTGTGCTGTGTCTTCCCTGCCTCGGCGCACCTTCGGCCTGACCCTTGCCTCTTGAAGGGTCCTGCTTTGTGATTCTTGTCCTGGTTCTTCAGAAAAAGGCTTTTTTTTTTTTAGTAGGAGTCTCACTGTGTCACCCAGGCTGGAGGGCAGTGGCACGCTCAGGTAGATCCTTCTGCCTCAGCCTTCCAAGTGGCTGGAACCACAGGTGTGCACCACCACGCCCGGCTAATTTTTTTGATTTATTGTAGAGATGAGGTCTTGCCAAGTTGCCCAGGCCAGTCTTGAACCCGTGGGCTCAGGCAATCCTCTCACCTTGGTCTCCCAAAGTGCGGGATTGCAGCCGAGAACCACCACACCCAGCTCTTCAGAAAACATCTTGATTGGATTTTTTTCAAACTCTAGAGGTTATACCTGCCAATAAAAATGTCAGGCAGGCTCTTACTGCTGTGCACTGTTATGATCAATGGCGTTTATAGAGGCCCCCAGCTGAGCACTCCTGGCTGTCCATGTCCTGCAGAGCGTGGGGAACAACTTCCATGAGGCTCATCTTATTTATTGATCATCAGGCTCTCCCTCTTTTGCCCAGGCTGGAGTGCAGTGACACAGTCATGAGTCACCACATCCTCAACCTTTGGGGCTCAGGTGGTCTTCCTGCCTCAGCCTCCTAGGTAGCTGGGACAACAGGTGCGTGCCACCACGCCCAGCTAATTTTAAAAATAATTTTTGTAGAGATGAGTCCCACTCTGTTGCCTAGACTGGTCTTGACCTCCTGGGCCCAAGGGATCTCCCTGTCTCAGCCTCCCAAAGTGTTGGGATGACAGGTGTGTGCCACCACACCCGGCTAATTTTTCGTAAACACGAGGTCTTGCTATGTTGCCCAGGCTCAAACTCCTGGGCTCAGGCAGTCCTCCTGCCTCAGTCTCCCAAAGTGCTGGAATTACAGGCCTCAGCCACCGTGCCTGGCCCGTGAGGCCCTTTGACTGATGAGGAGCAGGACCTTGAGTCTCTGAGAGAACGGGGTGGGTTGCAGGGCTGGCGCCCGGCAGGGCTGGACTCTGCTCATACCTTCTCCCACCCCGTCTCATGCTTGCTCATCCGGCAGCACCTGCGGCTGAGTCAGGGCGGGCAGGGGGTGGATGGGAACCTGTGGCACGTGGCGGGGGCTGGCACACACCCTGGTCTGCCTGCTCCCACGTCTCTGCAGCTCACAGAAGCCGGGATGGCTACATGCCCGAGACCTGGGACCCCGGGGCTCACTCTGCCCCTGCAGCTGGGACCGTGGCCTGCTTCTTCTCTGTGCTCCGAGGGCGAGGGTGCCCTGTGGGCCCTGAAGTCACGGCCAGGACCTGGAGAGGGCAGCGGGCTGCAGCTCGAACCCCGATGCCCTAGTCTGGCTGTGTGAGCGCTGGTGCGCCCCTCCCCTCTCTGGCTCAGGTTCCCCGTCCTGGGTGGTGAGTCTCGGTCTCGGGGGCCCTGTCCGACATCTGCCCCACCCGTGGCGTATGCGTGGTGTCTCCAGAGGCCGCGCGAGGAAACAGGAAGAGCTGGCGTGGGCAGGTCTGGGGGGGAGAGGGGCGCCTGAGGCCCAGCACACTCAGACAGCAAGGCAGGGACGCCGCTGCGGCGCGAATTGGAGCCGCCCGGTCCCCGGATGGCTCACGCCTGTCATCCCAGCACTTGGGGAGGCTGAGGCGGGAGGATGGCCTGGGCCCAGGAGCTTGACACCAGCCTGGGCAACAGAGCAAGGCTCCGTCTCTACAAAAAAGTAGTTGGGAAGCCGGGCTTGGTGGCTCAGCCTGTAATCCCGCGCCTTTGGGAGGCTGAGGTGAGTGGATTGCCTGACCCCGCGGGTTCGAGACCTGCCTGGGCAACTTGGCGAGACCTCATCTCTACAATAAATCAAAAAAATCAGCCGGGCGTGGTAGCACATGCCTGTAATTTTGGCTACTTGGAAGGCTGAGGTGGAAGGATCGCCGGAGCTCAGCAGGTCGAGGCTGCGGTGGCCGGGAGCGGCCACTGCACTCCAGTCTGGGTGACAGAGTGAGACTCCAACTCAAAAAAAAAATTAGCCAGGTGCGGTGGCTCACAGTACAGGCCACATAGTGAGACCTTGTCTCTGCAAAAATCAAACCAATTAGGTGGGCCTGGCCCTCCGGGGAGGCCTTCCTCAGAGCCAGGGAGTCGCCTGGGTTCTCCGCGAGCAGGTCCAGCTGAAGAGGCCTCCGTGGGACCCCGTCCCGGCTTCTGCCTGGGAGCCCGCTGTCCAGGCCGGGTCCCTCCGGTTGCTGCCGCCTCTAGGGCCCGCCGTGTCTGGGCCCCGGCCCGGAGTCATCGGTTTCCTGAGGCTCCTCCCGGGCGGACTTAGGACATCTCCCAGGAATGTGCTCGGGCTGCCCCTGCCAGGAAGCCACGCACGGCCCTGCTCCCTCCTGCTCGCCAGCTGGTGCTCCGTACTGCCGGGCACCGGCCTCGCGGTCTGCAGCTCCCTGCGGAAGGCCACCCCGTCCCCGCTGCCGGCGCCCCTGGCGCCTGGTCCCCTGTTCCACCCTCCACTCTCCCCCCTGCAGACCGCTGCCGGCACTCCGGGTCCTGTGGCCGCCCCCTCCCGTCCCCGCCCCTCCCTGCCCTGCTGCTCCCTGGCCCTCCCGGGGCCGCGTCCTTCCCGATTCCGCCCTGCGTGCTGCCTCCCTCCCTGCCCACGCCACTTGGCTCCTGAATTCAGAGAGCAAGGCCGGGTTGTGAGGGACTCATCCCACAGCCTCCCCGGGGCTGATGCGTCTCCTCCTTGACTCCGACCCCTGTCCGGCCCCTCTCGCCCGATGCTCTAGGCCCGTCAGCAGCACCCGTCTGGCTGGGGCCCCAACGCCTCGGCCTTGGCCTTCAGCTCCCGCCCTGACAGCAGCCGTCACCAGCCTTCCTGCTTCCCACTCACTGGGGCTTCCCCCAGCTTCCGCTCCAGCGGCGGCCCTACCTGGGCTGCAAATGCCCCTGACGGGGCGTGCCTGGGTCTCTGGCTTGACTTTGCCCTCCTGTCCCCTCCCAGCCCAGCCTGAGGGTTCTTTGCCCCCAACTGCTCCCTGCCTGGACTCGATGCCTGGGTTGCACCGACCTGGCGGCTGAGAGCAGGCTGTGGGTCGGGCAGCACCGGGTTCGAGTCCTCACCCCTAAAGGCAGCTCCCTCCTGGGCCTGGCTCCCTGAGGATCAGGGCGGAGGTCTGCGGCAATCTGGGAGACAACCCTCTGTCTGGGGCTGGTGCACTGGGGCTGGCTGGGTCCTCCAGATCTGTGGTTGAAGGACCCTCCAAGAACCTCAGGCCAAACCTGCCCATCCTGCCGGCCAGGTTGGCGTTTGGCCTCTTGGGGTCGGGACGAAAACCCTGGCCCACAAGCCTCCTCAACCCTAAAGTTGGAAAACAGCACCAGCACCATAGAGTTTTCACGAAGATCCTCTGGGCTCCCGCATGGAAAACCTGCCCAGCCACGGGTCGGCACACAACCAGCGGCAGCCGCGATGATGATCGCGGTGGTTATCGGCACTGTTGTCAGTTTCCATCTTTTTTTCGCTGCTGGCCCCGTTTCATGACTCCAACTTCTGACCCTGTCTCTCCCCCACCGTCTCGTATTTTCAAAACAATTCCCATGGTCTCAGAAGGTTCTGGTTGTTTATGGTTTTTTAAAAAATAAGCATTCAAAGCAAATTCCTCATTTGTTCTCCCCTTCCTCCCCCCCAACTGGAATCTGGACAGACATGAGCTCATTCCAGGAAGGGGTGCACGGGCAGGAACGCGGTCTGTGAGCAGGGCTGGAGGCCGAGCTGCCCCCAGAGGGCACGGCCCCCCATCACTGAGGCAGGAGTGGGAATGTGGGCAGACGCCAGGAGAGCCAGGGACCCGCGCCCCTGGGTATGAGCTGCGGGCCGTGGGAGGCCATTGCATCCCAGCTTCGCTGCCGACTGGCAGTGTGACCTTGTGCTGGTGACTCAACCTCTCTGGGCCTGTTTCCTCCTCTGCCAAGTGGAGATGGCACGGGCTTTGCCTTACTAGTAGTAAGGCGCGAGGATGAAATGCCATTCTGCCAGGTGTCCTCAGGACCTGGAGAGGCCGGCCGCAGGAGGGGCGGGTCTGCCAGGCCTTTCTCCTTTGAGAAGGGACCAGGTCTCTGGAAGCTGGAATCCAGGACTGTCCGAGGTAGCAGGGCCTGTCCGTCACCGAGTCTAGCCCTCTCGGCCTGCAGAGGGAAGGAGGCAGAGACCCGAGGGGGCGCCCCCCGGAGTCCGACGCGGAGCCTGGCTAGATCCAGGGAGCCGCTTCCTCGTTGTGGGTCCTTCTAGAACTCAGTTTCTCCACCTGGACATGGAGTCGCCCAGGCAGCACGACACTGAGCCCGAGTGGGCTGGGCCTGCCCTAGAGGCTGAAACACTCACCTTCTGTGTTCCAAAATGCTTCGCAGAAGAGAGAAGCAGATGGCTGGGGAAAGCAAAACGCCTGTTAGCTGGGTGGAGGAATTACTTTGAGAATGCTTGCTTTTTTACTGTGAAAGGCATCGCGGTTGTAAAATAATCCAAGTGCTATAAAAGGAAGGCAGCGGAGAAGGAAAGTCACTTTGCCCGCCCCGCCCACAGCCAGGGGTCCTGCCCTTCCCTGCCTGGCACGCCGCCTTCCAGACCTCCCCCTCCAAGCCACTCAGCAGAAATAACTGGACACACAGAAGGAAAAAAACAGCTTTTTTTGAGTTGGAGTCTCACTCCGTCGCCCAAGCTGGAGGGCAGTGGCACACTCATGGCCCCCGCAGCCTCAGCCTGCTGGGCTCAGGTGATCCTTCCGCCTCAGCCTTCCAAGTAGCCAGAACTGCGGCACATGCTACCACGCCTGGCTAGTTTTAGATTTATTGTAGAGACAGGGTCTCGCCAAGTTCCCCGGGCTGGTCTCGAATGTGTGGGCTCAGGCAATTCACTCGCCTCAGCAGGCTGAGTCTGGCCAAAAAAACCAGTTTTTTTTTTTTTGAGTTGGAGTCTCGCTCTGTTGCCCAAACTGGAGTGCAGTGGCCACTCCCGGCCACCGCAGCCTCGACC